GGTGGTGGAGGGGAGTCCCCATTACCTGTAAAGCGCTTTGAGTGGAGTGTCCAGAAAAGCGCTATATAAGTGTAAGCAATTATTATTATTATTAAAGTCGTGGTCTGACTGAAGTTTCTCCTGTGGGACTGAAGGCTGGAGGGTCACCTAACCCATACATAAGGCCGAGATTTTATTTCTAATCCGTGACCATTGTGCTACTGTGATTATATAGCCAGGATTCTTTAACACACCTCTCGGGGGGCCTGTTCCTAAACCACCCTAGAAATCATCGGGCTGCACAGCCACCTCGTGCGCCTGCCACCAGCGACCAGAGGGAAGCCGCCTGCTGCAAGAACAGCAGTGCTATCCAAGCAGCACTTCGGGCGATCGCTCGTTCACAAACGGTCCTCCTGACTCTCCAGCTGAAGAGGCCTTAAAGCTTACTGAAGTCCCGGGCCGCGAGCCCAGGAAGACCCCTCTCCGCTCACCCTCCGCCAGGACGCTTCACGGCCTCTCCAGGGCTGGCCACAGCCGCTCCGTGCGCACGGAGATCCCCTGGGGCTCTGGGAAGTGGGTCAATCCCCAGCGCCCAGCCGAGCGCCACTGACCGCGGTCCTCGCTGAGGCCACCGAGCCTCCGGTACAGGACGTTCCCTGGCACTGCCCTGAGAGGCGCGCTGGGAAACCACTGCCAGGGCTGGATGTGAAGACGCCGAGGCTCACGGCGAGGATATTGGGAAGCACAGCAGGGGTCAGGTCCGCACGCTTGGGCTCAGAGACCCTCTCTCTCTCTCTTCAAAACATTACCTGACTGTATCTTCAGCCAATGTCTACTGACCGCACCCAGAAAACCAAGCCAAACACAGCAATTAATACTACTACTACTACTACTGAGGTGGCGTCTCGAACCCAAGCTGGTCCATTGCCTCACCCACTTAGCCTCCTCCATCGCATCCTATCTCTCCAGGCATCTACAGCGATTTCCGCCTTGTCGCCATCTCTCCCTCCATATTCTCTTCTACTACCTCTGTCATCAGGACTTGACCTCTTGTCATGACATGGCCATACCACTGCAGTCTTCTTCTCTCGACAGCAGCAACAACATCTGGGCAATTGTATAAACCCTTTGCCCCCCTACCATCTGAGAGAAGATATCGCAGTGTACGGGCCAGCTCCACCAGACTCTGGAACAGCTTCTCCCTACAGGCCGTCAGGCTCCTCGACCCCCTGGAATCTACTTGCACCCACCCCAATTCCGGAGACAGGGTTTAAATCCCCCCCAGTGGGGTGTGTAGATTGTATTACGTACTGCCTTGTAATTTGCACTGTGTGTATCCTGTCTACAATGTCTGTATCAGTGTCCTGTCTGTATTGGCACCGTGGACCAGGAGGAACGATATTTCGTTTCACTGTATACTTGTATCTGGCTGGAATGACAAATAAACGTGAGCTTGAACAACATCAATAACAATAACAAATAACCATCACGGCCATTGTAAAATCTAAATACTGTAGGTATTATGTGCATAATCAAAGCGTTTGTAAACTGTATACATCTTTAAGATACTGTACTATTTGAATTGCATGCATATCTTATTTGTATAATGAATAACAGCACCCTGGAGTTCCTCCCTCTGGGCCTTTGGTATTCCAACTGGTGAGCCTAAGGCTCACGGTGAACCAATCAGACAACTCGTAGAGGGTGGGGGCGGGGCGTCCCTTGAAATGTGGTCACCGATAGGTCAGAAAAAGAACCAATCGAGGCAGCGGTTCAGGGGCACATTTGCGATCCACGTGGAACTGTTGTTCACGGAGGTGAGCTGAGCTGCAGAGATTTGTCCTTTCACATTTTATAAAAGTTCGTCTTCCTCTAGCACGAAAAACTACAAGTTCGACTCAACCTCGCACATCTTGTTTTGTGAAATTAATACGCAGTTTTAAGCAGTTCTACAACAAAAAATAGTTCAGCGTCAAACTCATTCCTTCAAACGACACTGGTATTTAAAAAAAATAAAATGTATATTGACAAGTCTTGATGGCCCTGTCTGAAATTAGGACTATATCCCGACTCACGGTAATGTTTTCAATTTCAACACTCCTTGTCAAAGAAAAACACGGTATCCTAGAAGTTTGAACAAAGGTTTTAGAAGATCAGATATTTCCATATTGCAATATTGTTGTTCCCCCCCGGGAGCAGAACAAAAAAAACGTGACAAAGTACCTTTTGAATTTCATCTATGCTGACCTAAAAAATGTCAGACGCAATTTCAGACGCTGCAGCCTCTGGGAGATTTACCGAGGCGAATCTGTGACGCAGTTTGTATTCTGGGCAAACAGCTCGGCCGGGGTGCGGAGTTTTGGAATACTACACCGCTTGTAAACACCCCAAGGACTAATGCATGTGCAGAATGTACGCTGTCTTATATGAACGCAGAAAAGTCATCCACTGGCCCCACTGCAGATCGCACCCCCCAGTATACCATTCAAAACCAAATAATATACTCTCCGACACATCGATTTCCCTTCGGGATCAATAAAGTCTTATCTATCTCGTTTTTGAAATATCCGAGTTCAACACCCCCCGACATGACTGGCCATAGAACCGCTTCACACCCCACACCCCCGGCACCGCAGTCACGAACTTAAACAGGCGACTCACTCGGCTCCAGCTGATCAGATCATTGGTAGAAGGGTCTTCCACCAACGTCCAGAGCTTGCTCAGAAATGCAGGTACAGCACAACTCTGCTTCATTATTATTTCGCCGGAAATTCCTCTATCGTCCTGAAGTCTTTAAGCGTACACGCTTGGCGTTTCAAAGCCTTCCTCACCTGACCAGAGCCCCACTGGATTCAGTATGTATATTACAGAACAACCTGTCCGGGTACAGCTGTATTGCACAACGTGCGCTGACCGACCTCGCCCCGCCCGCCCCCTCCCGCGCCATCCAATCAGGAGCCGCCTGGCGCTGGCAGCGCTAGCCAATGGGCGCCCGGGGGGGGAGGCTCTAAAGTGAGACTCGCGTGGCTGGCGGCGTGCTGGCCGGCAGGGCGGCTTGCCCGGCCAGCCCGCGAGTTAGGTAACTGTTGCATGGGCGCTCTGGGAAAGGGGGTTGAAATGGGCAGTCGAGCGAGTGACGGAAAACACTCGCTCCCTTCTGAAAGCCGCCGTGCGGAGGGCTCCGGGAGCCGCCCACGGGCGGTGCGGACCCGACTGCGGCCTGTGACTGCAAGACCCGGGGCTCTGTGGCTTTGTATGTTAAAGCAGCGCTGTCACACTATCAAAACAATCGAGTCTTTTATTTTGTTTTTTTTCCCCTAGGCTCCCGTGAACATGCGCTCAGACGTGCCTCGCGTTATATCCTAACATTTCCGTCCCCTCGGATTTGTACCGGATTGGTTTCGTGAATGAAAGGGCTCCTGCAGGAGTTGTGTTTCCTTAAAGGAAGAGACCCGACAGGTTGGGGAGAATGTGCTAGAAGACGGAAAAGCAGACCACAAATACAGCCAACCAGTCCATCCTCCCGGCGATATTTGTTTTCTGTCCGTCTTAACTTTCAAATTCCAGGATGACATGGGAGGGGATTAATCTTGCGATTCAATACATTTGACTCCGGAGCTCAAGTTGAACATGTTCAAAAAGCTGTGTAACGGCTGCAGCTACCTCTTTTTTGACTTAGGGTGCAACAGCTTATTGGGCAGATCTCGCTCCTGCGCGCCTCAGAAACAATTTGCAGACCAACGAGTGGAGCCGCCTCTTGCAGGGTCCGTCTCCCCCTAGTGGCTGTCGTGCGCAGGTGCACTAAGTGGTCAACAATAGTGAAAATGTGTCGGTGCAAGACGCTCTTTTCACTCGATGAACGAAAAACCTTTTAATCAAAACTTTTTCCTAAGCCCCGTAACACGTAAGTCTTTCACGGCCTCCACCGTTCCCCCGTTTCAGCTCGCGTTTCTCGGGGGTACAGGCCGCTCGCCTCATCGGCCGTGTGCTGTGCCCCCACACTTCGAGACTGAGGTTTCTCACAAACCTCTCTTCATTTTAAAAGGATATTCTTTCAAAGTGTGTGTGTGTGTCTTAGAAATATGCCGAATGCCTCCCCAAGAACATCAGTTTCACATTTGCAACAATAAAATGTGGAGGTAGTTAAACTGGTTTCAGCCCGTGAGAACTCCTCCTGCAGAGTGATGTTCGAGTAGCAAGTATGATTTCCTTCCTTTTCTTCCCCTTCCCTTCTACAGAGCTGAAAGCTGCAATGACACTCAAGGAACCCAGCATCCAGACACTTAACTAATTCCCTTCAGCAGCCCTGTTTCCGTCCTTAATCCTGCCCCAAGCACAGGAACAGTCCCTGCTGTCCCTGGAGGAGGGAAAAACACGTCTGGCACATGGATCTTTTTAACCCTTTATTAGGTAAAGAAAACCGGCCCTGGGATTCCCCAGGGCAAAAGGTTTGAAATATTAAACCTGACCTGACAAACACTGGTGTGAGAAACACTGATTTCCATGAGAAATGAAGGACCGTACCCTTGTAAATAACTCGCAGTACCGCAGTTTTCTCAGGCCCAGCTCAAGGAGGAATCAAGTCTGTCCAGGAGAATCCACAGAGCTGTGGCTCTTCCTTAGCGATGCATTGAGCTTAAACCCTTTGGGGCACGACCCGGCATCATGAAAAACAAAGGTCCAAAACGAGAGAAGGCCGTCTGGCCCATCTAGTGCACCAGGTCTCAGATTCACAGCATTTTTCAACATGACCTTCCTGGATCAATACGGTTGGTAAAGACACCTCATACGTTTAAGTACTAACGAGCAAACAGGCGAGGAGAGGGAAAAAATGTCCGCCTCTCATTTTCAACCTCTCGCGTTCTTATAAAATACAAAAAAAACCCAGCACGATGCAGCAATTTCTTAAGGAGATCAGGTCTGTGGAACTTGGCTACACAGAACATAAACTATGCCATCTGTGCTGTTCCGGCTATGAGGCGTGGTTGACCTCACCTGCGCTCTTCCGGAACACCCTGAACTCCAGGTGCCGCCTCTGCTCCACCTGGCCGTCTTCCGTGCCCCAGGTGTGGACTGCAGCCATGCTGTCGGTGATGGAAAGCCACCCTCCTGGATACCCAGTAGCCAAGCACTCAGAGAAAGCAAGGACCCCCGTGTTGTCAGACAGGGAGTACTACGCTCCCCTGTTTCACTACCCAACCTTCAGCTGTAGTGGAGTCCCAGCACCCAGGTGAAGAAGTTCATGGAGGATTTTGTCATACCCTGGAGACATCTTTTGCACAGCAGAAGAGCTGAATGACTTTAAAAAGGTAGAGAAACGACAGCTGCAGGGTATTCAGACAGAGCAGCCCGTTTCAGTGTAGGGGGGCAAGCAGGGCAGCACGGCTCTGCAGGAGACAGGAGGGCTTGATGCTGGTGGCCACCTGCAGAGCTCAATGGAGCAACACAGCACTGCCAGCAGGTGGCAGCAGTGCTTGCAAGCACAAGCGCACACACTCTGCCCCCACAGTGCACAGATATACCGCTATAGATCTTAAATGCACCTCGCATTGGCACTGAGCCCACTGCTACAACTCAAGCCCAACCATAACGTTCATCCTTGGGGACAAACAATGAAGCAAACTTTAAAAATAAGGCGAGTAGAAAGTGGAGAAATTCCAGGAGTTTTAAGAGGACAGGATCAGCATGACTGCCTGCTCTAACAGTGTAATGATTGACCACTGTCTAATCAAGGATTGTAGTAATGCTGTTAAGTAAAGGAAGTCCCACACCACACCCCTTTAAGGAGTAATTGCACTCTAAAGGAAACAGCTTTAACAGACTTTTTTTTTTACTGTTAAATCAGGTTGGTCTTCAGGTATACACATCACCAAAAGGCAATAATGTATAAGACAACTCCCTCTACAACTGTCAGAGGAGAGAAGCAAGTTGATTTTTAAAAGCTGTGTCCTTACAGGCTGTAACTGATACTCCTATTTGACTCGGTGTCTTATTGTAAATCCAACTGGAGCTCATTTGGGAACACAGCACACGGTCTTTCAGCGACACCAATCACACACACTGTTGCGCAAGACAACTCCTCTTCTTTGGGCCACTGCATCTAAATAATGCAGCTGGTGAAGGGTCTGTGATGACACACCCCTGCATATCGCATGCTTTCTTCAACGCCCGCAGTCTTTTCGAGGGTCATGGGGACCCGCGAAAGTCAGCAAACCTCGATCACAACCACCTGACAGAAATACATTTGCCAAAAAAAAACGGAGCAGGGAAAGAAGTGGCTATAAAATTAAATTTTATTAGAAACTTTACACTAACCTAACTAGTAATCTACAAGACCTGACCAAAAGTAGCCAGCAGACACACAACACGGTCTCAGCTGGTTCACTTTTCCAGAGGCAGCAACTCCAGGCATGATCCAGACTGGCTTTAGTGCAGAGCCAGTAAAAGTCTCCCACCACCTCCACATTCACCGGCGCACAAGGCTGCGCATGGGCTGCCAAAACACTAGGGGGCGATCTCAGCAGAACGCAGGTTTTTACATGAGCCTCGAGAAGCGTTTCAACTGTGTTCGGAATGTGTCGAGAAATTCTGTCTCTACCCGATGGAGAGACTGTTCAAAAATTTAACACTGCAGTTTTAACAGAATCGGATTAAAGTGGGCATGCACTGGGAAACTTATACTAACCTTCATTTCCCCCCCTCTACATTCCGTAAAAATTTAACCTGCAAAGTTACCTCGGATCGTCTCTAACCCTCTCCAAACAACAACTTGCCAGAATCACGGCAATATCCTCTGTCGACTTCAATGAGAAAAGGCTTTCATTCCCAACAGAGCTCAACACGGTATCCCGTCATTCCTGGCTGCCAAGAGTAAATCCGATCTGGATCATGCCGTTTTGGAATGCCCTGGTGTACAGAAAGAAACAGCAGAGCCCAGCCAACAACGAAGAAGAGGTTGATTGTTAGCAATCAAAACAAAGCAGCACTGACACAGTAAAAATACACAGATAAAGTCTGTAACAATTCTTTAAGGCTCAATTAACTTTCCATTAAAACAATATATATATATATTCACAAAGCAAAATTAAAAAGGCAATGAGTATCTAATACTGAATTTAAGAATTTAATAAATATTTTAGGAGGGGGGGGGGGAGGGAAAGCATTAACAAATGAGATAAAAAAATTAAAAAGGGGGCAACTAGTCTTGCATAATAGCCATTATCATCGACCATGGAAGATATTACCTTTAGCAAAAGAAAAAAATAATAATAAAAAGAATGGAGATACTGACTGAGCACCTTCCAGGATGGTTGACATATTGAAACGTCCTGAGCAAATGACACCCCCTCCCCACACCTCAATTACAAATTCGCAATACCCACCCCAAAGCATCATTTTAAACTAGTGTATATGCTATTACACGGTTTATGTCACACGTACGAAGACAGCAGGTGTGCTCTGGAGTCTGAGTCTGGGCCCAGGAGCCTGGCGGCCAACCTGACAGGCTTGTTTTGTCAGTAAGCACGGGGGAGCTGGCCTCCCCTGGTGCAGAGGTCAGAGGTCAAGGTACAAGGCTCAGCTCAGCGGCCCGTGAGCTGGTCAAGGTCGTCAATGCAATGGGTGGGCGCGGCGTCCTCCAGCGTGTTTTGTTTTTTTCCTACAAAACAGGGCACAAAATACAAAGGTTACAAAGATTATCAGCCATCTTCTCCATTTTCACTTTTGCTTTGTAGGCAGGGACCTTACTTGTGGAAACATGCTACACCACAAGCCATCACCCTTGCCCAACAGGGGGATGGGACGCTGCGTGGTGGTAAAATTACTACTTCGGCACCAAGAAAAACAGATCAGACACAAAGGCTTCCGCGTCGGGCGTTTTGGCCTCGTCGGTCGAGTTCTTATGCCGTTTTGGGAACAAAAAATTTGCAAATATAATCACCATGGCTGGAGGGGGAGTCTGTCAGTAATGGGAGGGAAAAACACCTAGTGGGTTTAAAGGCTTCATCTACTAAAGCACCTAACACCTGCCGTGGGAGAGAACAGTCACCATATGCCTTTGCAGGAGCCTGAGGGCACACCGCTCACACCAGATGTCACTTCTTGGTCTGTGGATTTCAGCGCTCTGCCCTGGAGTATCAGCAGGAGAACAAACCCTCAGGGCGTCACCCTTCCTCCGAATCCGTTAGCCCTCCGAGCTCAATCGGCTGATCCTGGATATCCCAATTTTATTCCGATCGCAATGTTTGCCGACACCCCGACCGCGCCCCCGCATGGCAAGGCGCTGGGGAGTTCTGCTGACAGTGACGGTGGGCTATCAACGACAGCTGAGCTGGCACCACACATGTCCACGAAGGCCCGGAGACCCACACTGGAAACAGGGGCTCTCAAGAGAGCATTGCTCTTCCTGGCCTTGCCCATTCGGTTTTGTACACAGGTGCACATACGTCTCTGCGGTTCTGGGAAACCCCTTCAAAGCCCAGAAGCAATGATTTCAAGGAAATTAATTCCTTTAAAGAAGCATTTTTCGCCTCTGTTGCCCATCAGGGTTTTCAGCATGAGCAAGCTTGGTATTGACTTGTTTTTAAGAAGCCTTTGCTTTTCAGATTCCTCAATAACTTCCCCGTCTAAAAAACAAAAGCAATATGACCAACAGAACAACAGAACCACAAAGATCTACATTCTGTATAGTTTCATTTCACTAAAACAACTGTTCCAAGTTTATGTCGACTGTGTGGACAGTGGCGATGAAGGCTAATAAATGAAGAGCCATGTAAAAAAAAAAAGTCTATAATTGGACTAAGGATCAGCAAGCAGGGGCGGAGAGAGGCATCAATACGAGCCAACGGCGCGATACTGCTCGTGAAGCAAAGAGCTGACAAGAGTTTGAAACAGGAAGCCTATGAATAAACAGGAAGGCTGCCTGTGTGCTCTAAGGTGCTTCAGAGTGCAGACCTTTGATGACCACACAATGTTAAAGGGCACCACAGATAAACAACCAGAAATAAACTGATCAGCCGATGAGAAGATATTTCATAGCAAGGTACAACTTACTGCTCTAAAGAGAACACCAAGTTCCTACTTTATTGCCATGTTAAAACTTTCTGAAACTCATTAGCAGGATTTAGACATTACAGCTTTTTAAGTCCTGGGCAAATGAAGAAGGAACCCATGCTCGCATTCTCCTGCCAGTAGCCAGTCAATACTGGCATAGGTGGAGCAGTGGCTCTGTGGCTCAGGATCTGCGCCTGTGGCCGGAAGGTCACCGGTTCAAATCCCCAGCCAGCCAGCAGAGGAATCCTACTCCATTGGGCCCCTGAGCAAGGCCCTTAACTGCTCCAGGGGCGCCGTATAAATGGCTGACCCTGCACTCTGACCCCCAGCTTCTCTCTCCCTGTCTGTGTGTCTCATGGAGAGCAAGCTGGGGTCTGCGACAAGACAAATTCCTCATGCAAGAAATGGTATAGGGCCAATAAAGTGATCTTATCTTATACTACATGTGTCATGACACAGATATTCAGGTTGGACAAGAATCACAAACGTAATGGGTCTAAGAACATAAGAACAGTTATAAACCATTCAGTCTATGCTTGTTTGGGGGATAGGAGCTAATTTCACTGATCCCATCATCTCTTAAAAGAAGCCACAGAATTGGCTTCAACAGTAGCTTGTTCCATACTCTCACTATGTTTGTATAAATAAATGCCTCCTGTTGTCGGTTTTAAGCTTATACACACCCAGGGTTAGAACGGCACAGCTATCACTGAATTGCTTCCTGTTAAACAGGTCCTGTTCAAAATGAGATGGCAAGATAGGCTATGAGTCGGGTAGGTGTTGGGCAGGGTATCATCGGCTGGCCACCCAAGAGCAGCTCCTATGTGCTTACAGCATTGTCAGAGAGAGCTGCATCTCACCTCTGATTCACACCAGCTCTGCCATTGGCACCTACCGACTCTTAAAACCACAAGCTTCTGAAAAGGAAACATGCAAGGTTTGCATCCCTTCTGAGGGAGCTAAGTAACAACCGTGCCAAGTATGGGGTCTGAAGAAAAGCAAAATTGCTTTTTATCCACTATTACAACACGGCCTTTCGCATTATTATAAACCTCCTAGGAAAGCAGGGAAGAAGTGGCAAGGCAGGAGGAGGCAGCAAGCTCTGCGAAGTGCATGCCACCAAAGTAGGCCTTTCCACACTCTGACACAAGCAGACGGGCAAGAACACACACCATTACCTCAAGCATAGCTGTTCAGGGGAGAGAGGGCCCGAGGGCGGGTGGGCATATGTGTGCGTGTGTGTTCTCATGTTTGTGCACACTCAGGGGGTACTTTTTAGCAGCAGAGAAATGTGTTTCCTGTTTTGGAGCAGCAATTTCACTCAGGATGTTGTGAGCTCTGAGTTTCCTCTCACTTCCACACTCTCTCCCTCCCTCCAGGTTTCGCCTGTATAGACAGCATCTGTTTCGTGCCACATTCTTCCTGTGATCGCCCGATAACGGCCCAGCCGACAAACCATCAGCCAGGCACCCCGCGTAAACCCTAGAAACACGCAGCACAGCACCTACAGGGGGCTGGGGAAACTCACAGGAAGCACAAGGCACCTGTCTAGAACAGTCCCCCACCTCCAGCTGGAGAATCAGATCCACTTCTTTGATCCAGATGTCACCTAACTGGACTATAGAGAAAGCACTTTGCCCACCATCACTACACACCCAGGACTTCATTTTACCAATTTAACAAAACAAGAAAGGCTGTAAAACAGCGGAAGCCATTCAGCACATCAGCTGAAAATCACCTCCAGCTGTTTCTTGCATGGTTGCAGACTTAACTTCAACCAGACGGCTGGACCGTTTGGGGGGGGTTGGGGTTGAGAATATCACCCGGTCTTCGGGACAAGGACCGAAAAAGTCTGCCCTGTAGTTCATACCTCAGGAAATCTTTTAAGAGAGTTTCAAATGATGCATTTGATATAAAAACAGGACAGCAAGGCACACCTTGAAACTCACAGTGAGAGGGAGGATAAGAGATTCTGAGAACTCAAAACACCCCCACTGCGAGCTCTACAGCGACGTCAGGACACACACAGCGGACAGCAGAGGCAGAAGACGTTTCAAACGGTACGGAAAGGCTAATGGCTGGAATCTGCAGCAAAAAAAATCCCAGCAAAGATCTATCCAACAGGCCAGGAACACCAGACTTAAAGGCAGACCACGAGCCTCTCCCAGCAGTAAGCAAGCAGGACAAAATTACAGAGCCAACCCTGCAGAGACACTTTTCACATCTACACCCAAGCAAGGCCTGAATCACAAAGCACTGAGCACTTTAGAAGGGCTGCAGTAATCTCAGCTCCCCCGCCAGAACGCCCAGCACCTGGTGCTAGAGCACCTAACACAACATTGACCCGTGGGCCAGCTTTAAATTAATATTCCGGTGATCAGTGGCAACCAGCAATGGGGGGGGGGGGGGAATAAAAACCTTATGCCACTTCACATCTTGACCAACATGTCTGCGTTCCACACCTCAGACACCACAACCCGAGGTCACCCCAGCACCAAGCAGCGACCCGCAGAATCGGGCCCAGGCCATGCGGCCACACTGCGGTCTCCCAGCTCCGGCCAGGAGAGGTTGAGAAGGGCACCCCCAGCAGTGCGCACTTCCACCACGGCCAGTGGGCTGCTGACCAAGCAGAAGGGCACATCTGCGTGGGGAGAGCCAGGCTTGGGCCCGGGCGGCAGGTTTGTCTCAGGTTGGCAGACGCACGCGGAGGTGGCGGGACCTCAGCGGTGGGCTGTTCTGTTGGGTGTAACAGAAATGCGCAGCCGAGGGCGACTCAAGCAGTGCGCCCAGTGCATGGGTGACGCTCCTGGGTCAGGCCACTAGCCCAGCTGTCCCGGGGGAACAGAGCTCCGCCGGGGCCGGGGCCGGGGATGGGGCCGGGGCTGGGGCCGGGGCTGGGGCCGGGGCTGGGGCCGGGGCCAGGGCTGGGGCCGGGGATGGGGCCGGGGCTGGGGCGCCAGGGCTCCAACGTCCTCACCAAGAACCTGACTCCTGGGCCTCCCCGGCACCTGCGGGCTTGCAGCTGAATGGCAGCTCTGTCAACTTCCCCCATCAGGCACCACAAGGCTGGCAGCCGGTCAGAAGAGCGCCTCTCACGGCAGGTGGGGCAGACGACATTTTTTGGAGTTTCCAAAACAGGTGGCTATAAAGTTCCAGGTGCCTAAAAGAAGCGACTGCTCCAGATGTTTTCCCGTGATTTCAGGCGCCACGGTTAAGCAGGACGGATGGTTTGAAACTGCCCCGGGATTTACTGCCCCGCCTGTGGGGCTCAAGCTTCAGAAAGCGCGGCGAGCTCACCTGCTTCAGCGCCGGCCCCAGACACGGCTCGCTCGGCGCCGCCCTCACTGGATGGCACAGGTGGTGCAGCACTGGTCCTGCTTCTCGGGCAGCGAGGCGTAGTTCATCTGCCGCACGATCTCGGCGAACAGCTCGTCCACCATGGTCTTGCTCTTGGCCGAGGTCTCCATGAAGGGGCAGCCCCACTCCTGCGCCAGCGCGCGGCCGTCCGCCCCCGACACCTCGCGCTCCGACTCCAGGTCCACCTTGTTGCCCACCAGGATCAGCGGCACCTTCTCGTAGCGCTTCACCCGCACGATCTGGTCCCGCATGGGCTTGATGTCCTGGGGGGGGACAGAGGGAGGGGGTCAGGGCCTGCCCAGCCAGCACTGGGGGGGGGGGGCACAAGCGCTTACACAGGCCGCCCGGGAAACAGATGACACACTTCTTCCCGGACGTGTGGGACCACACAGGGGACACGACACCTGTTCTGATGCAAGGACAAGAAGCGATCAACACCTGCAACTCCGGGGACTAACCTACCACGCGGCCCATAATTAAACTACACCCGGACCTCTTTTCACAACTGGTTTCCATGTCATTTCGCCGCTATGAAGCCTGCGAGCCGTTACCCAAATTCCAAATCACAAAAGCCACACTGGGGAAACCACGAACGGGCGACACGGAGAATAATTTGGAAACCTCCGCCAAATGCAGAGAGCGAAGAGGAAGGCGTCATACGACTCGAAGCGCATGTCCGCATCACATCCCACTGACTGGCCTGGGTGAGCGGGCACAGAGCCTACAGAGTGGCAGGAGAGATGTGCGACACAGTTCGCCTCGTCTTGCTTCGTGCAGTGATCACTATTGTCTGGGCGCTTACTTTTTGTGCGAATATGCGTGGTTTAGACTTTATCGTGGACCCTAAAGCTAAGAAAAAGAAAACAGTAACAAGCAGCAGATGAAGTGGTACTGTCCAGTACTGTACTTAGGAATGATTATGTCTAACTAGGTAAGCAGTTTATTACTAAAAACACAAACCACAGTATGAATGTTAGTTAGTTATTGTTTCCTTTGTCATTTGTGGTGAACAAAACTTAATGTAGGGGTGAAATTTCTGAGGTAGGGAACAGATCATAATTTTTCCCCCCATAAGAAATAACGGGAAAAAAATATTTTAATGAATTTTCACTCGACAAAAGGGTTTCTGGGAACAAATGACATTTGAAAAAAGAGGTATGGGTGTACATCCACACCACGTGGCCAATGTAGAGCACTGACTTGCCCATAAGTCAGCATTTCTCACATAACTCTCTCAATTATAATTACTGTCTTTGACACAGGCATATGCTTAAATCAACCTTAACCCTGTCCCTTCCCTGTCCAGGGCCTGCCTGATGGCAAGGGCTACAAACTGAGGTTTCTACAGTCTGAAAACATGTGATCTGGGGAGGGTAAAACACGACGCACTCCCTCTTCTGAAAGGCTGTGGGAGCTCTCCAAACTGGGACACAGCCCCACTACAGGCTTGTGGTTTCTGGTGCTCTTTCACAGCTGGCCTGACTGGCACCAGAGCCAGGACCCACACCGACGCAAGGCTGCAGCCACTGGGGGAAAATTGCTTCGCAGAACAAAGTACACTTGGGCCCCCCACCTTGCTGAGCACAGGGGTTGTGGTTTAAAGCCAATTCACCGCCAAGAATAATTAATACCCTCCCCTTCCAGACACACAAACTCTTAATCAGTGCCTTTTGCAGCTCTCAAAAGGAACTATCTAACTTTCCATGTTGATACATGCGTTAGAATTAAACTACAAAACGTGCACCAGGCACATCCTGTCGTGTCCTTCAGGGATCTGAAAGTGATTTTTTTTTATTATTATTACAGGGGACGGGACATAGTTTATACTTTTTGATGCACACGATCTCCACATCACGTGGACAGGGAAAGTTCACTGAAAACCTCAGCCAAACGTGGGCGCCTGCACCCCTTTGCTTTTTAGGAACGAGAACGGGTGGACTTTAACCCGAGACCGCCGCGGTGGGCTGGCACTGGCCACTGGAACCCAGCAAGCCCCTGTAAACAGGAGTCTCTATCGCCGCTTCCCGGAATGCGAGGGGACGTCTGGCGTACCGACTTCCGTGCGTTTCCCTCAAAAAACGTCACATTCCTCGAATGCCTTCCAGGGTTTTATAGGGTGTTTTTGAGCGAGGCAGCCAGGTAACCTCGGATCACAGCTGTTTTCAATCACCTGCAGAACGGCTCACATGGCAACCGTATTTAACGGAGCGCTCTGTGAGGAAAGCGGCGGCAGCCTCGCTCTCTCCCACAGTCTGTAGGAATGAAAGCGCGCTTGTGGACGTGCCCCACCCTGCACGGGACACCTTCTTTAAGGCGAGGTGGTTTCTAGATATAGCACTCGGCGAGGTTAACAGCACGCAATTAAACCTTTCGAGCTGAACCGCCTCAAGGAAATGAAAACGTGCCACGGTGTGTGCATCTAAAAAGAAGACGCATTCCCTATTTTTGCTGGAGTCGAACCTCCCACACTAGGGTACAGATCACGAAGACGTTGCCCCCAAAGGCACGGGAGCGCACTCTCTGCAATGACAGCGTTCAAAAGGGGTCTGATTCAGTCGGGGTCGGTAGAAACGCGTGTGGAAGCACAGTTACAGCTATTACTATACTCAGAACATAACTAAACGTTTAAAGTAAAGGGGGAGGGAAAGTCGCTGAACTACACCACACGAACACGTCTGTGGACAGAAAGTTTTAACAGTCGCCGAAACGCGTAATCCTGAACGATTTAAAACTGGAGAACTGGAAAAGTGTAACGAAAGGTAACTCGTTTCTACAGTACAGGTCGAGCTACCCGTGCGCTTCCTGTACTGCCATCAAAGCAACAATAACACAAGTCACAATACTTTTTTTTTATCTCTCGTTACCTGGAATGACTGCTGGTTTACCAGGCTGTAGACCAAAATGAATCCTTGACCGTTTTTGATATAGAGATCCCGCATGGAGGCGAACTGCTCGGTTCCGGCCGTGTCCAGTATCTCCAGCACCGAAGGCGAAGAGTCCACCTCGATCTCTTTCCGGTAGAAGTCCTCGATGGTGGGGTCGTACTTCTCAATGAAAGTCCCGGTGACAAACTGCACGGTCAGAGCCGACTTGCCGACGCCCCCGCTGCCCAGCACGACCACCTTGTACTCCCTCATTGGGGTGCGAGTGAGAGTTAGCTATCCCTCCAGCCAAAAACATAAAATTAAAAAAATAGATGTACACACACACACGCGCGAGAGAGAGAGAGACCGAGGGGGAAAAAGGCTGCTCTCTCCTTCAAGCGGGTCCGGGTGTGTAGACGCACATTTGAAAATAAAAATAAATTTCGAGAAGAGACACCCAACGCCTACACCGTGCCAGTCCTACACCCCTTCATTCTGTTCCTGACCAGCGCGAAGTCGCACAAGAGGCAGCCCGAAAAACAAACTTAAAAACCGCTTAAAAAACGCCCCCACAGAAAGCGTCTAACGCCCTTTTCGAATGGTGAACAGAGCCCGAAAGGGAACAGGTGGTTTTCATTTTTTCAAAAAAAAAAATTAGTAAAAATTCTCCAGCGGGAAAAAAAAAGTGCAAGAGTACACAGCCCGCAGGGAAACTGCTGTCCCGGGTTCTCTAGCGTATTAGACCATAGCAAAGCATAGATCGACTGCTAGAAAAACAAAGTAAAGTGCTAAGATTCACCTGATTCTAATAATTATATATATATACTGTCAGGAGCAGCAAGCCTTTGCACAGTCTTCGCTGCTCAGCGATTTTCTACCGCAGTGGGGCTTAACCTCCCGCTACCGCGAGAAGCAGGCGGAAAATATCCCTTAAAATCGCGATTCCTTGCCGAGAAATGAAAGAAATCGGACCAGGATAAACAGCTACGAGATTGCCGAGCAGGAAATATAAAATACACCGCATATATTTTCAGCTCCCTTTAAGTCACGTTTCCTGTCCCAATCTGTAAAAGGCAGAGGGCAAGAAATTCTTTTTTTTTTTGGTATCCTGTCCGGTTCACAGACGTACGTGCCAATAAAGAAATAAAAACTAATGCTATCCGGCCCCCTCTTTATATGTTTGAAACGCCGGTTGATTCCGAATTAAGAAAATGTAGCAGGGCTTTAAAAAAAAAAAAAGACGAGGGCTGAAAATTTTGTGCTACCGGTTTTCGAAGCAGTCGGCTCTCAACGACGGCTGGCTTGAAGCTCGGCCCTCCCTCTTCCGCCTGAGCGGATGTGTAGTTTTCCTCATTTAAAAGGTTTAATTTCAGATCATTGCTGCCCTCCTCCTTGTTCTCCGTTTGCGATGAAACTGAAACTCCCTCCCCTCTATTTCTCTCTCTCTCTCGCCGCAGCAGCTAAGACGCTCGCCAGGCCTGAAACCGGAAGCAGCGGGCGAATGGACGTGCCCACGACATCCCCCCACCGCGCCTAGATAGGACGGACTCGAGAGCAGAACGAATGCGAGCGCCCCCTCTGGCGGCTAAGGTGCACAGCACCCCAGTGGGCATCGCACGGGCTTCTCGAGCTCTGCCCCCACTGTTCAACACGGCGACACCCGAAGAAGGCCCCACGGCCGAAACGTTGTGTTTCTTTTCTTCACTTTTCAGCAGGGGGTGAAGCCTTACATGTTCAACTGTTGAACACAGTCCCTTGCCCCGCTTTCCCGAGAGACAAGAGGAAACGGGGGGCTATATACTACCTTTTGTCAAGGATGATACCGCTGTGGCTGTATGTTTCACGGGTCGCTGTTTTATTGCATCTTAACAAGCAGCTGTTGATTACATTTTACATTCCTGGTACAGTCGTGGCCAATAACGTGTGACGTTTACACCAGGCTGTGCGTTAAAACTGGGTCAGACAACAGAGGCTGAATGTATTTTTTAGGTACGATACATATTGTTTTCGCAACCTGTTCAGTCTGAGCGGCACATTAGCTCTAGACCGCAGAATTTAACACCGATACCAAAAGGGAACCGCTTCATACAGAGTCCACTGCGTGACGTCATTGAAACACGCGATTAGCGCAAGGATGCGTCATTTCCGTTCCTTTCTCGTCACCAGCGGCTTTAAATGGCACCTGGATTCTAGGCTATTGTTACTCTCTGCTCCAGATAAATCTTAATTATTGGAGTGCTTTGAAGGTTACAGGGTTCATTAAGCAAAAAAAAAAATGAATTCAGTGCTTATTTGGAATGTCCTGAAATAAGATGGGATCCGGGTTTCAAGATTCACTGCCTCTGAGCGAGACCCACGTTCCTCAAAGTTTATCCTGCTGAGGTGATTCTTAAAACACCCGAATCTGAAAGCCTCCATTTGATAAGTTTAGCCTTATCAAAAAAGGGCCATATATACAGTTATTTATATGAATGAAGAACGCCTGAGACAGCGATGTTGCGTGGTAACAAGATTGGTAACCAGTAGCTGGACAGCACGTGTCACTACAGGGTTCAACAAGGTTCAGGGAGGACATGCTCACCGGAATGACATACTTCTTGTTTTGGCTTCACCCAAGACCTTTTATATTAAAGAGATGTCTAAAGCAAGGGTTCCCAGTCCTGTAAGGCCACATAACAGCTGTTCTGGGCTGTTCGCTGTATACACCACTGCACCCTGAAGTAATCGATTGATTTCGGGACAGGAGTCATTCGAACTGCGTTCAGCTCTGAAACAAGAGGCTCACATTTTATCTGCCGTATTTCACAGGTGGCAGAAGATTACAAGCTTTTGAGAGGAGAAAAAATAACTTGCAAATAGTGCAATCAAGCAATTTAGCCGTTCACACAAGGCTTTAATTAAGGCATTAAGCTCGGCTAGAATAAAGCCATCCGGTGTGTGAGTCTCTGGAACCAGGGTTGGTAAGCCCTGGGTTATAACATCAACTTGATCTTCCAGGACAGTTAAATCTGGATATTTATGTTCTTAAACTCGACAAGCAAAATTACATTTAGCATTTAGCCCATAGAGTAAGTGCTTTAATACCGTTGGCCAGTAGGTGTCAGTGTCCGGCTGCAGCAGGAGAGATCCACGCTCCTTTCTACGGGTCTCCCTCGTGTCGGGAACTCACTCATTCAAATCCCCGCCCCCTGAAATATTAGGCCAATCAGATCAAACCAAAACACTGCTGACGTCAGCGTGAAATAAAGGCACTGCCGGTGTACAGCCTTCTCTAGCGAAATGCAGTACAGTACAGTACAGTACAGTACAGCTTACTGCATGTTTCACCTTTTCATATGCGGATGGGGAGAATTATTAATTTCAGAGCACCACGGGCTTTGTTCTCTAATTACGAAGGACTTGGGAATGGTGAAGTTTGTGGGGTGTTCTTTTTTGTGTCTGATTACAGCGAAAGGAAATCCGTGCTATAAACATTGCTATTTGTATTACTTGTTGTTTAAGTATGAATTGTGTTCTCGATATCCAGAAGAAATAAACGTGTTAGTGGAATGCAGCATCTTAAAGAGATTTATTCCTCACAAATGATATGCGCCCTTCAGAACGCCCTCACTCGGGGGTGTTGTCTGAAATGTAACAACTGGAGCTCGGCAGAAGGGAATAATACTGCTCTTGGGCGCGTCTGGTAGTTCTGTGTCACGCCCACCGTGAGCCTGTCTGATACTGTCTCATTCACCTGCGTCTGTTCGGCAGGAAATGGTCAACTAGTAAACTGGTTTGTTTAATCAGAAGCAATGACAGTCAGGTGCTGAAGCGTGCCTAAACTACTGAAGGAAGAAGTAGTTTTGAGCAAACCCTTTAAGGATGTTAAAGCGCAGAAGAATACAGGGTGTTCATTTTCTGGATAAATCTTCAATAGTACTGAAACGTTGTGATTTGAGAATGGGGAGAAAGGTATTTTGACACTCAAGACTCGCAAAGAACAAGTTACGTAAACGTTTAAACGAGCAAGCAGATCAATTTAACCTACACAGTGTGTTATTTGCACTATGCTGACCACAGTAATAATAATTACACTTATATAGCATTTTTGTGGACACTCCACTCAAAGCACTTTACAGGTAATGGGGATCCCCTCCACCACCACCAGGGTGCAGCCCCACCTGGATGATGCGACAGCAGCCAGAGTGCACCAGTACTATATGCTCACCACATACCAGCTCTCAGTGGGGAGGAGAGCAGAGTGATGAAGCCAGTTTAGAGATGAGGACTATTAGGAGGCCCTGATTAATAAGGGCCAATGGGAAGTTTGGCCCGGACACCAGGGTAACACCCCTACTCTTTTTGAGAAATGTAGTTATCAGTTATCTTGGATTAAGTTACCTGGTGCGCAGGAGTCAGTTAATTTGTTTTGTATTGGGTAAATATAAGACATATCAGGGACGGGGGTGCCACGGAGGCAGTCTGTAGCACAGGTAGCAATGTGACGTGCAGCCCGTTTTCAAGAATCAGTAGGTTTCACAGGAAAATTCCTGACCTTTGTCTGTCAAGCAGCAGACCACTCCCAACTCCCACCTCTGCTTAAGGGAAGATGAGTAGTACTACAAACAGTATTATGCTAAAACCAGGTTCTGTGTTCCCGGTTTGGAGAGTCTTAACAACTGCGAAGACTTCCTTCTTCTTTGCCTTTTACATGACACGCACTTTCCAAGATAAGGAAACAATGAATTCTTCTGTCACTGTTATCTCCCTTCCAGGCTTCTTTTGAATTTTATGACAGACGTCAAAATATTTAACAGCTGAATAAGTGGATACTTCCTCCTCTTTATACCTGCCATTCTGCTGCCAGCAACCGAAAGAGGCTTGGTTATGGGCTGGTATTCATCTCCGTAGGTTAAACAGAACATTTGCACACTCCTGTTCCCCTGAAGAGGCAGAGACTCAGGGAGGGAGCTGACATCACACTGCAGTCAGTTTGTGTGCGTAGGCATCATCACAAGAGCACTGGCTACAGGACCAGTAGGTGTAATTCTGCAGCTCATTGGATGTTAAGGCAGACTGATGCCAATCGTCAGAGGAGCATATGGTCACATCCACATTCTCCCCTACAAGACTTGTACACAGGGAGCTGTAGCTTGATGACTTCTAAATCAATTGGCAATCTCAAATTAGGAGGGTATATAAGAAAGACGATGGGATTGCAAAATGAATGCAAAACAAAGGAAAGAAAACAGAGCTGATTTTCTATGTAATTCCACAAAAATTAGAGGGATGTTTTGTAGACATTAACCATATTGAACGTGCACAGCAGCGCTTGTATCACAGTTTCCTGTATTCATTTGAAATGTTTTCACTGATCTTCCTCTGCCCTCCCTGGCCTCGTGTACAGTAAAGCTATCACAGAGGGAGTTTCTCAGTGTGTGCTGGCTGGAAAGAAAGAAGTTAAGGTTATTTGCACACGTGGAAAGTAGTGTGGAACAAATGCACCCGCCAGGTTGTTGAAGCCGCTGCTCTTTCTTTCAGGAAACCTCTGCATGAGATCTTTGCATCAATAAACTACCGAACAGGCTGGGAGGGTATCATGGCTCCTCTTTCCTTGTCCTTACAGCATGGCTGCTTTAGGAAATGGCTGTCTTCCAGCCATATTGCCACTTTCCAATAGCAATATTGTTCCTAGGGGCTTGGACAGACGGTTAAAGGACAAACAAAACCGATTCACCATACATTTCCTTTAACTACAGAGGCACAGTTACAGTAAATGATACGCGCATAAACAGTTACCTAACCTGCATAAGAAACCCCTATAAGGAAATGGGGCATAAGGAAATGGGGACAATAAAAATGTCTGAGTTCTAGTTGTGATCGCAAAACAGAAAGGGAGACGGCAGAGGTCAAGTTTGGTTGAGGCTATGGTCTTTCCATTCTCACACTTCCTCATTCTTCTGCAGCTCTGTGGACTTCCTTCCCTGCTCTTTTCCTCAGAAAGGGTTATACCACACCCTTGCAGGGATAAAAAAGGGTATTTTGCACTGGAAAGGTGGGGGCAAGGGAATAAATCAGTATGTGATCTGCATTGGCACAAATGTTTACTGTTCCGTTGTAGTGGAATGATAGAAATCTATTAATCACCAACCATTAGCTACTATCCAGACCAGGCGTGGCCATTGTATCAGAAAAAAACTTGAAAGCATAGTATTCTAAGATATATCCCCACCCTAGTGCATCACTGACTGCAATTCCTTCTACATGGTCTCTCCCACAACACCCTCATTGTCTAACTGAGCAACTAGATTCAATTCTCTCATCTCTCATTGTATAACCCCTCTCTACTGGTGAGGGTCGCGTGCTTAAGTTACTGAGAGCACAGCCAGGCAAAACCTATAAGGCACTAGGGTCCTACTCAGAGATTATTCCTCTCCAACCCAGTCCAGCAAGTTTTAAAGGGCAGCCTTTAAAACCACAATTTCTAAAGGCCTGGAGCAACTTAACTATTATCAAATAAA